CCAGATAATCTATAGAACAGATTTGTCATTCCTTCCACGGACTTCAGATTCGAAGAAAAACCTCATGTTGCATGATGTTTTTTCCTTGACAGTTTCAACTGACTTTTGTCAGATTTTTGACAGGGGAAAATGAAACCAACAACTCTCAGGACATGACACTGCATTTGTTTTCAGAGCAACAGTTTCAGAGGAGTTTGAAATGACTTCTAAATGATGTCACAATAGACACTTTAAAACAGGCCCCTAATCTACAATCACTGTTGGCTTAATTAGTCCTGATGAGGGCATCATCATTAATTGCAGCCTAATCGTGTTAGTGGGCTCCTGCGATAGCGCTTCCAGAGATCTGGGTTGTGGTAAACAGTTCATTTCCATGGCACTTATTGAACGTCGCCTGGGAAAGTGGCAGGACAAGAGCAGGGTTCCATTACAGAGCCCTCATTGTTGCCACAGGGCCTCTCATCCGCTCACCCGCACGTCCCCGGCTGCCTCGGCTGCCTCTCCTGCACCTCACTGGTGGCTGAAGCCCCAGCCCACCCCTTCAGACCTAGTGAGCATCAGTAGAAATGGGAACTTTTTGCTGTCCTAAAGGCTGCTAAGAGGCTTCTGAAGCAATGAGTCAGTGTTTTCAGCCTTGTTTTCATTCCACATCCCAAAGCTCATCCGGATCGGCATCTGTGTTTGCTGCCTCTGGAGAGAGGCTAATTACTGGACAAAGCTGGGGATTAAGCTTCCCTCTGGCCCTTACGAAGGAGCAGTCCCACTGGAATGGAGCTGAGGGCTTGTTCGGAGAGGGGCCGGGAGAAAAGGTGTTTCTTCGGGGTAGGCCTTCCCGGTCTTCCCTGGATAAAGAGGCCTGAGACTTACAGGGCTTTTAATCCCACACCTTTGGCAACCCCTAAAAAAAACCCTTGCAAGTCCCCCAAAGATAAGGACCCTTTGGCCATATATTCAGGCAATAAGACATGACAGGCACTTTATTTCATCAGGGCTACACACCTTGAATGCATTTTGTGGCATAAGGCCAAGGTACAAATGACTTCAACTCTTACGGAGAGTCTTCCACAAACGCATTAAAATCCTTGCCCTGACTTCTCAGTACTAAGAAATGAAAAATAGTTGAAAACTAAGTGGGGAGAGAGATTTCCTCAGCTAGGTTCCTAGGGGGTCAGGACCCTGATAGCTAATAAGAAACTTCCATTTTCGAATAACGTTCGACAGACATGGCGTGATCTAGTGGGCCTGGGAAAGCGCCGTGAAATCTGGGAACAGCTGCCTCTCCCTGACTGGCTGAGAGCAAGAGTCAAAGTCCAGCATCAGAGGCTGAGCTCTGGCTCAGCGAGTGGACCCTTCTTCCATGCTTCCCGTTGGAATAATGACCACTTCTCATTTTCCCTGAAAGATTACAGGGGGCCTTGTGTTTTCAAAGAAGAATTTTTTTTTATACTTTCGGGCCAATTCGGCTTTTAAAAATTTGCCTTTGAGGATGAAGGCCCCAGGGTAGTGGTAATCTGGCCCTTGTCCCAGATTCTAGATGATTAGAGAACTTCAGGTGGAAACGTTACTCTGCTTCTGGCTTTATGCCTTAAAATATGACCTAAGGCAAGCTACCATTTCCCAGAAATGAAATATGTCATATGTTACTATTAGAGTGAACCAGAAAAAGAGCATTCTATTACAATAATGGGTTTTGTTTAAAAAAATTTAAATGTCAAATCCCCAAAGGAATAAAACATATTTGATACTATTATTGGAACAGCAATACCATTAATTGCATGAAGTCCTTATACTCAGGATTGTTCCTATAGTAAGGGGATTTTATATCAACCTTTCAGTAAAATTATTGTGTCAGAGGAAAATGAGAAACAGCTTTGCTCATTTATTCATACAATCAATATGCATGTAATCAATATGTATTGGGAGTGACTATGTGTCAGTCATCGGTCTAAATGCTGAGGATGCAACAAGATGACTAGAACATCTTTTTGCCTTCAAGAAGCTCACATTCCAATTGAAGAGAGAGATGTAGCAACTCACTACGGTACAATGTCCCAACAGTTATGGTAGAGATTCCAGTGTGACCATGAAATATGCTACATGAACTGTTAATTCTGACCAAAGGGGTCCTTGCTATCCTTAGTAGCCTGTTTGAGATAAAAGCTGACTTTTAAATAAACTACCAGGAGAAAGCACATTTTAGGCATATGGAATAGAATGGGCAAAGAGGTATAATAGGAAAAAAAAATGACACATTAGGAATTGGTGAGTAGTTTTATGCAGCAACAGATGTAAGCTTCGCCGATTGTCTGATGTCAAATGATGGGCTTAGATGGACGAGTTTAAGTTAAAGCAACTTGAATGATTTTTGAGCAGTGTAATTTTACAAAATGAATGTATTTTACATGATCCGCTATAGGCCAAGTCAATGAGAGTGAGAGACGGAAAGCTGCCTGGAATGAAATTGACATTCCCACCACGACTGGTCTGTTAACTTATGAAAATACACTTTCATCAAGAAACAGACGAACATCGCTCACTTCACGTGCTTCTGGGTGGATTGAACCTAATTTTGCAGCATTAAAACCAATTTTCTGCTGAGAAAACATGTCACAGAGGATTGCATGGACCTTTAAAATTATTAATGTTTTATATTTCGATGTCACCTTTTATCCTGAAATCAGTCCTGTACACATGGGAACAGATAAGCTCCAAGGAAACAGAGATCATATTAATACAGTAAGTCACAATGCTTTTCTCTCTTCCATATTCTCAGCGCTTTCTGGCTGTATGTTTCTCTCACCTTTTGCAGTTAGTGGATACAGTTGTAAAACAGTGGGCTTTTTTCTGTTGTTGTTGTTGTTGTTTTTTTAAACTAACTCCTATGATGAGAAGTCTTGGGCTCCAGGGTGGGCCATATCATACAGTTTACAATCCTCCTGGAAGATTAGCTTTGAAGTTTTTTTTTAATATTTTAAAATTTTGTTTAGTTAAAGGTCAAACAGGCAGAGAAAGAGACAGAGACAGAGAGACAGTGAAAGACCTTCCATCCGTTGCTTTACTCTCCAGCAAATGCATGTAACAGGTCAAAGCCAGGAGCCTGGAACTCAATCCAGGTCTCCCACATGGGTGGCAGGAGCCTAACTACTTGAGCCATTAACAGGAAGCTAGAATTGGGAGCAGAGCACTCCCCGGGGATGGGGTGTCTTAACCAGTACACCAAATGCCTGCCCACAAACTCTGGATATACGCATTCCCCACTGCTCTCATCCTGAATGGATGACGCAACTGCAGTTAGCTTGTCTTCACGGATTCTTCAGCTTCCTCCAGAGAGTAACAAAATATCATCATCATTATCAGCATCTTTGTCATCATTATCCTCACAACTCTCAGAATCGCTGTTACTTGTAAAGCACCCACTTTGTACCTGTACTGTTCTATAGTCTAAGAACTCCCTATGTCTGCACACCATATTAACCAACTTCACACCAACATTGTAGGGTAATGCTGTCCACTAGAACTTTCTTTGATGCTGAAAAGATTCCATACCTATACTTCCCAATATGGTAGCCACTTGCCATACGTGGCCATTGAGCATTTCAAATGTGGTTAGCCCTATGGAGGAATTGCATTTTTCTTTTACTTGATCTTACTAACCCACTGAAAAAGCCATGTGACCGGTGACTATTATTTTGGACAACACAGCTGGTGCTTTATTATTATCAGTTTTTAAAGCCGAGCTCTGATTTCATCATCAGTAGAACTTAATAATGATAGTTCTGAAATATTCTTGTGGCTATAAACATTTTAAAAAGATATCTCATACTCTATGTTTGGGGATCTTCTAGCTCATCACTTCTCCCTGCTAAAATTTGGTTTAAAAGATTTGTGTGGGGGGCCGGTGCTGTTGTGTACCGGGTGTAGCCGCCACCTGCAGTGCCTGCATCCCATATGGGTGCTAGTTCGAGTTCTGCTGCTCCACTACTCATCCAGCTCTCTGCTATGGCCTAGGAAAGCCGTGGAAGATGGCCCAAGTCCTTGGGTCCCTGCACCCGCTTGGGAGACCTGGAAGAAGCTCCTGGCTCCAGGATTTGGATCAGCGCAGCTCTGGCCATTGTGGCCAACTGGGGAGTGAAGCAGCAGATGGAAGACCTCTCTCTCTGCCTATGCCTCTCTGTAACTTGCTTTCAAATAAATAATCTTTAAAAAAAAAAAAGATTTGTGTGGAATACATAGGGAAACTTGGAGTTATTTCTAAACAAAGGATACTTCGAAAACGTGAGGGTGCTATCTCCATTGTCACCCAACGGTCCCAAGCGGTCACTGGGCTATCTATTGAAAATTGGAATTCCAATGACTGATTTCCCAAAGGAAGACCTTCGCTTCCACTTCTAAAACTGGACCATGGAAGAGGGTTTGGGATGTCATGGAGAAACACACAATTCGTATCCACCTCTCTCCCCAGGAAAGCCATTCTGCGTTCTGTGTATGAAGATATGGGCATGAGCTTTGAGGCGAGGAAACCGATCGGAAGACTTAATGACATTTCTGGTGAGTCCACGCTGTTACGTAGACTGTTGCCACTGCTAGAGAAAGGGAACCTCAGTAGCCCTTGTTTTGGACCATCTGTCGCGAAAATGTGACATATGCTTGCTTTGTTTACTCAACAACCAAGTGTAAACCGATACACCGAACTAGAAATCCCTGCATGGTGTCAGAGAGCGAGAGAGAGGAGAGAGAGCGAGCGAGAGAGCCGGGGGAGGGCTGCCCCACGAGGGAGTCGGTCCCCGCAGACCTGCCCCCAGGAACACGTGCCCAGCGAGCGGGGAGCGCGGATGGGTGGGACGTCCCCGCGGTGCGGGGCTCGCCCCGAGGCGCAGACAGGCGTTGGCGACTGCACACAATGCGCAGCGCGCACGCCGGACGCCGCCGCAGCCAGGGGCGCGCCGGGCCGCCTCGTAGTTGAATGGAGAGCAGCCCAGCCCTCCGCCCTCCCTGCCGCTTCCCCTGGCCCTGACTACCGGAGCCTCCAACTTCCACCAAAGCCCCTGGCCTTTCAATTAACCTCCCTCGATCAAAACCAGCGCTTCTTCTCGGTCCTCCGAGGCGAACCATTGTCTGGCGTGATGGGTTTGCAGATTTGACAGCTGGGCTCACACAGACTTGGTGCAAACTCCGTTTACCCGAGAGACGAACTTGGGCATCAGCACAGATCCCAAAGACTGGCCCCCACCTCCGCGGGCTGTCCTCCGCCCGGGGTCTCCGGACCCCGTAAGACCCCCGACGCTGGGGAAGGGGAGCCAGTGTCCGGAGCGGGGCACCGGGCACCGCAGCGCCACCAAGAAGGAGCCTCCCCCTAGGCTGAGGTGAACTCTTGTGCGTGTGTTGGGATTTTTCTTTCTTTAAAAAAAGAAAAATTTACTCTTAAAACAGCCAAGATGGAGGTCAGCTTACAAATTTCCCCAAGGCAGGTCTGCTCGGGGTTAAATGCATTGGGCTGGGGTCTCCGCTTTTGTCTGGTCGCCCAAGCTCGAGCACACAGGTAGAGACTGCGCGTGAATGCGCGTGTGCGCGCGTGTCAGTGTGTAAGCGTGTGTGTGCGCGGCACGCTGGCCTGGACTAACCGGTGGGTGGCTCCGCGGTCGGCGCCCCGGCTGCCCGGGTCTGAGCGTCTCCAACGCGCCAAGTCTTGAGTCACCGCCGCGATTGACGTGGGAGAAAAACTTTGTGTTGGGAAGAAGGGTCTGGCTCGATTGCACGGAGAAAGAACCCTTGTGCAGTGTGCCCGTGTGTGTGTGTGTGTGAGAGAGAGAGAGAGAGAGAGAGAGAGAGAGAGAGAGAGAGAGAGTCAGAGTCTGGCAGCGCCCACGGCTGGCTGCACAGCGCTACGTGCTCCGCGCGCTAGCGTGCGGGTCCCGGCCCGGGTCCCGGTCCCCCCGCCGCCGAGTGAGTGCAGCTGCGGCGGCCGCGGGGGCCCCCGAGAGCGCTGGCCGAGCGCTGCGGGGCTGCGGGAGCGGGGCGGGCCAATGGTCCTCGGAACCCGCCACCCCCCGCGCCGCTTGGAATAACCACTAACATCCCTAACGGGCACCCGAGTCCGGGGCTGTGCTCGGAAGCCGTCCTGAGCTCCTGGAGATTACTGCATCTTTTTTGTCTGAGCGCAGAGAAAGTGAGCCCGGAAAGGGAAGGAGGGGGCGGGGACAGCCCCCCTCCCCGGAATAAATAAATAAATAAATAAATAAACTGGCTCGTCGCCGCAACTGGACGCGGTCCGTTGAGTCCAGGTTGGTGGCATTTGGAGAGTTTTCTCCTTTCGTCGGGCAGGGAACCCATCGCGGCCCCTCCCTCCCTTCCGCGACCTCTTCCCGTCCTGCAAACCTCCCCCAACTTTCGGGCCGCGGGAGCGCTCGCGGCGCCGGGCTGCACCTGCCCCGGCACTCGGGGGCTGCGGGTCGGCGTGCGCGCTCGGGGGCAGTGGAGTGGATGCGCCCGAGTCCCGGCCGCTGGGCGAGGACGCACGAGGCGCCGGCGCCCGGGTAGGGGCGCACGAGCCGGGTTTCGGCCGCAGCCGGGACGCAGGTTCCGGCCAGCCCTGCTTTCTCCGAAAGGAGGCGAGACCCCGGGAGGGGGGGACGGCGACGTGGGTAGCGATTGGTGGCTTGAGTGGGGAGGGCTGGCGGCAGAGCGGGCGGGCGCGAGGAGGGGGCGGCCAACTTCCCGGGAGAAGGGGCTCTCTCGGCGCCGGGGCTGGCTGGGGAGCCGCCGCCGACGCCGAGGGCTCAGACTCCAGGCAGCGGCCGCTGGGCTCGCGGCGCGCGGAAAGTAACGTTTATTTATTAATTTGCTCGCCTTCAGCCTCTGGGGTTGCACCCTAAAGACACCCCTTGGACTTTGGGGACCCTCTCCCGCTCGCTCCGGCGGTCCCCCGGAAAATACGCACATGCCCCCAGCCCCCCGGGTCCCGGGTGGGGGGTGGGTCACCCGGGGGGTCGGAAAGCCCCCAGGGCGGCGGCGGGGGAGGGTCAGGGGCGGGCGGGGGGAGGCTCCGCGCTCCGGGCTCTCGTTTCAAAGCGCGCTCTCCCTTCCAGGTTGGGTCGGACCTGAACCCCTAAAAGCGGAACCACCTCCTGCCCTCGCTCCCGCCGCCCGCAGCTGAGTCGCTGGCGGCGGTGGCGGCTGACGGAGCGGGAGTTTCCTCTCGCGCTGGATGGAGCTGAACTTTGGGTGGCCCGAGGAGCGCAACCGTCCGGGGATCGCTGCGTGCTGAGCGCCCTCGGAGAGACTCAGCGGCGGCTGGAGATATTTTTGGGGGGCGGGGACCAGCTGCGCGCCGGCACCATGTTCCTGGCGACCCTCTACTTCGCCTTGCCGCTCCTGGGTAAGTCGAGGCTGCTGCCGGCTTTCCTACCCGCGGAGTCCTCCCGAGGGTCGCTCGCGGCGGCCCCTCTAAAACTGGGGCGCGGGGACGCTGGAGGTGGAAGGAAGAAGTTTCGTTTTGGGCAAGGGGACCTTGAATCCTTGGGGTTGGGAAGCGAGGGCAGCCCGGTACTGCTTGTGGCTTTTCGTGCTTGGATTGCATTTTCCGTGCTTTTTCATGACCCAGCCTGGGAGAGGGGGGCACTAAAGGGGCGCGAGACCTCCAGCCCCGAGCCGCGCGCCCCCAGTGAGTCCCGCGGAGCCGGAGGAGGCGCGGCGGGCAGGTGGAGTGTGGGCGAGCCCTGGGCCGGGAGAGCAAACTTCGAAGGGAAAACTTTTCCCCCACCCCGAATAACGTCTCGGCGCTCCCCGCCGCGCAGCCGGCGGCTCGGGGCTGGTCCGCCCTGCGCCTAACTCGCGCTCCTCCGCCCAGCGCCCCGGGGCCGGGCCGAGCGAGCGCCGCCGCCGAGGGAGGCCGGGGTGCCTGGGCTGTCCCGGGGCGGCAGGGACCCGGGTGCGCGGTGGGCAGCGCAGGCTCCGCGGCGGACCGCTTACAGGCTGCGGGCTGAGCCTGCACCGCCCTCCTCGGCTGGCTGGGTAGGGAGTGGGATCTGGCGGCCGAGCTCCAGGGCCTGGGAAATGGACCCTTGGGTCTGAGCCGGGGGTGCTTGTGGACCTGCTCCCAGCTCCGGGAGCCCCAGAAGGCTGGCCAAGCATCCTGGCCCCGGGCACGCGCCCTCCCCTCCCGGGGCCCTGGCGCCGCCGGGGTCGCCGCCTGGCCCGCCGCACTCATTCCCTCTCCTCCACCCCGCAGACTTGCTCCTGTCCGCGGAAGTGAGCGGCGGGGACCGCCTGGACTGCGTGAAAGCCAGCGATCAGTGCCTCAAGGAGCAGAGCTGCAGCAGCAAGTACCGCACGCTGAGGCAGTGCGTGGCGGGCAAGGAGACCAACTTCAGCCTGGCGTCGGGTCTCGAGGCCAAGGACGAGTGCCGCAGCGCCATGGAGGCCCTGAAGCAGAAGTCGCTGTACAACTGCCGCTGCAAGCGGGGCATGAAGAAGGAGAAGAACTGCCTGCGCATCTACTGGAGCATGTACCAGAGCCTGCAGGGTACGCGCCCTCCGCCCCTCCCGGCCCTCCCCCAGCCCCGGCCCGCCCAGCTCAGCCTGCGCTCGCTTCTCCCCAGCTGCGGAATGAGGCCCTTTCATTGGCCTCCAGGGACAGCGGCAGCTGGTGTTTGCTGCGGTCAGGCAGCTTTGTTGGGCCAGATCCTTGGAAAACCCATGGGGGGGGGGGGCACCCCGGGAAGCCCGCTGACCTCTCTGAAGCCTAGGCAGAGCATCCAAGTAGGAACCCAGTAAAGACCCCCCTCCCCAACAAGGAACCCACAACTTTTCTCCAAGGAGGTGGGCCTGGGGCTTTGAGTGGCTTCATAGAATAATCAGGCAGAGGCTGGCCTTGAATCTTGCCTGGAGTTTCTCTGTTTCCTTCCTTCAGCCTCTTCTGACATAAGATAGGGTATAAAAGGTCCGGTGGAACCCATTCTCTCTTTAACCCCCCTCAAATGTGATCTAAGGCAGGTGTGTGAAAAACCATTCGTCATCTGAGATTAGCCCAGTCTTGAACCAGCTGGTGTGGTTCAACCTTGATTAACACAGAAGAGGCTCAGGCAGAGAAAGATCCACCTGCCACCAGGAGACAGCCCAGCAGGAGTTGTGTGGTCACACACACGCTGTGTATCCATCCCCTGATGGAGAAGCACACGTGTAGAATGCGAGGCTGACCTGTCAGCAGCCCCGCCTCCAGATCTGTCAATGAAAACCTCTTTCAGGTGGACTCTTTAGTAGCCAGGATACCTGCTTTTCAACCACAGGCCCTGCTTCGGGAGCAAACAGCAACGGGGCCTCCTTGGGTCACCTTTCTTCCATTGGCTCCTGGAGGCGAGCAGGGCTTGTGACGTCACTGGCTCTGATTTCATTCCTTTGCAAAGAGTGGGAGAGTTTTTGGCAAGATCAAGCTGGGTTGCTCTCCAATGTTTTCATGGCGCTCTGGGGAGAACAAGGACAACAAAGGCAGAGGGAACGAAAAAGACATAAGCAGAGCCAAGTAGATGAATTTGAAATCTTTGAGAGCTTCCGCATCTTTCTGTTACACAATCATAACATAATTAGAATTCAGATTCAGGAGCAGAGAACTGCCTGAACTATGTCTGTTGGTTTGGTTTTCATTTGAGCCCCGTCTTTCTGTGGTTTTTAGGAAACGATCTGCTTGAAGATTCCCCGTATGAACCAGTTAACAGCAGATTGTCAGATATATTCCGGGTGGTTCCTTTCATATCAGGTAAGCAGATTTATGCTTCCACTCTGATGCCTTTTTGCCTGCTTGAAATCCATTGGCTTGCGTTCTCTTTGGCTCTAAATAAGTAGGTAGTTGAATGGCACAGTGTTTCTGGGAAATTAGAGAGAGGATGATAATGAAGAGGCAGAATGCCTGGAGATGATTGTATGACTGAAGAGTAATTCTAAATGAAGTAATGTGGTATAGTGGTTTGGAAGGAGTTGGAGGGAGGGGACTTGGTTGCATTTTTTTTTTTCACATTAAAATATGATTGGCCAGCTCTTGCCCAGGGAGTGCCACTGCTGTCTGTAGGTGGCAAGCGTATTCTCTTCTTAATGCACACCCTGCACAGTGCCTCCCTGGAACGGGCATCTGTTCAAATGGTGCCACTCACTCTGTGAGACGCCTGCAGATAATCTTGGATTGTTGAAGAATTTCGGATGGATTCTCTCCGCTGCCTCTGATTTAAAAGATTAAGCCCTATCATTTGTTAACATTTCTCCTGTTTCTGATTTTTCCTGAGCAAGAAAGTACATTTGCAAGAGAATACGCGTCTGCCCCGGTGGCCCTTTAAACCCCGTGGTGGTGGTTTGTTCTGTTTCTCTTTGTGGTCTCCTTTGGGTTTGGAAGTGAATTTTGTTCTAGAATTAAGTTTTTCATTCCATCTGTGTTCAGACAGCTCATAAATAATGAACAAGGCCAGTGATTTCTCTTAATGACATACGGATGGTAGACTGATGTTGTCTGTTTATTTACAGTTGAGACGTTTTCTTGAGTATATATAGCTGCTACAAATTACATGTCTCTTGGTGGGTCAGTGTGGTGGTTAATGTTGAATTTGGTTCTATATGAAGATACCTTGTCACTGGTGAGAATCTTCTGGTGTTCAAAATATTTTTGTGTTTGCCCGCAGAAAAGCCACAGCGCCCAGGGAGCAGATGTGTGCCGATATCGTGGGTAGCTGCAGTATATGCCCATTCATGTACCGAATACCCACTGAGCACCTACTGTGTCCTGGCTGTTGTCGTTTGGGCAGTGAGCCAGTTACTTCCCTGCCCATGAATCTTACAAGCAGCCAGCAACTGACATTTATTAAGCCCTTATTATATGCCAGGCACTGTGTTAAGAGCTTTGCATCATTACCTTATACAATCATCATCAAGTGCTTTTTACATAATTATTATTTCCATTTTAGAGACGGCGAGATTGAGGCGTAGTGACGCTAGGAAACCAGCCCACGATCACAAAGCTCCTAAATGGGAGAATCCGAATCTAAACCCTGATTTGTTTGATCCTAGGCTCTTGTAACATCCGCCCAGTGCTACTGGGCCTGTGGTCCTCAGAACAGCAGCCTAACGTTGCCTGGGAGTTCAGTAGCCCTGCAGAAGGTCAGGCACCCTCCCAGACCTACTAGAGTCAGAACCTGCATCTCACCAGGAGCCCTGGGCAGGGACCTTGGTAGACACATGAAACTTGAGAAGTGCTCCTTTAGGTTGTTCTGTCTTTTGGTCCAGAGGAGAAGTGTGTGTGTGTGTGTTTTGGGATGAGACATAAGAGTTCAAGTTTAATATCAGAGGCATTCATATGTCATCCTGAATAATGGCCAGAACTTCCACTCCAAATCCCTGTTAATGTGTCCTGTCCCCTTGGCTCAGCCAGCAGAATGGCTGAAACAGGGGAGGTGGGTACACGCACTAGGGTGTGTGACCCTGTGGGTTTTCTGAGAGCATGTGTGCAGGAACTAGGATGGGAGATGGCCTAGGGGTGCCAGAGGTGACCTTGACCTTCCTGGTGCTTTTGAGGGGCAGAGCCTCTTGCCTGCCGCCTGCCTCTACTCCTCAGTCTTTGTTCCTGCCTGGAAGGCTGTGACCTCCAGTGGACAGTGAGAAGAGAGGAAGTGGGAAAGGAAGAAGGGCCATTTGGGTTTGAATTCCAGAATTGCTGGGAGCTGTGGGGTCTTTAACAAACTCATTTTCCCTCTGTGAGCTGCTCTTTTCCCTGTGGGTGATGGGGCGATTGGAGTAAGGAGTCTGCAGTCTCAGTGGTCTGTGATTCTGAGGGAGGACTGCGGTCCCCTCTGGAATCCCTCCTCTGTGCTCCTGTGTTGTGCTTTCAACCCTTGCATTCATCTGTGCAGTTGAAGTGAGGTCATCCTCGGACACCCCCGGTTTGCCAGAAGGTCTTTGATAAGCACTGGAAATTCTTGTGCATGGACCACATTTCACTGGTTCATTGACTGGAGGCCTCAGCTGGCTTTCTTTCCATAGCAGACGTGATCCTGAGTTTGTGGGACCTGTTCTGCCGAGAACCCAGAAGTCCTGATGAACTAACCAGAGCCAGGAAGGCCTTGTCTGGAGCTCCATTTTCCATCTCAAGGGCATTGAATTCAGGCTGCAGCACTAATGAGCTTTGACCTCTGTCAGTGGCTGTGTTCCTTAAGTGCGTATGGTAAAGCCACATGGAGCCGTGAGAGGCTTTAAGTCATCGAATGATGCACGTTATTCAGTGGGGCCTCTGTGGAATGCAGGACAGAGAAGCAGGATGACAAGTGGTGCTTTTCACGGCTTGAAACTGAGTTTCCGGAACATCTCTCTGTCTTGAAAATCTCTCTGAGGAAATCAAGACAAAGCAGGGTCTTTGCCTCTTGGAGGTGAGGGAGCAGTCAGTGTCCACATTGGGATTTTGTGGCCCACATGAAGAGTGCGTTCACCCATGCAGTCAGGGGGAGCTGAGTCCTCCCCTGAACAGGCCGCGCTTGGTGCACTTGCTCGGGCCCTCAGCCATCTTTGCCATTGCTGACTTGTTAACCAGCTGCAAGGCTCTGTTGAGGGACTCTCAGGGGTTGGGCAGGAACAAGGAAGGGAGAAATAAGGCAGCATCTAAAAGCCGTCATCCTGTTCTGAAGGGAACTCAGGGTCCAAGTGAGATGAGGACTTAGGTGGGAGGTTGGGGGACCCCTCTCGTGGAAACTTGCTAGCAAAGTGCCTGGCCTCTACTGCCCATTGAAGGACCTGGGAGGTGAGTTTCCAGTGAGTTGGCAGCAGTGTGGTTTTATTTTTTTATTTTTTGTATTTGAAAGTCAGAGTCATGGCGAGAGAGGGAGACAGAGATAGCTGATTCATTCCCCAAGTGGCCTCAATGGCCAGGCTGAACCAAGGAATGTGGAACTCCATACGGGTCTCCCCTATGGGTGCAGGGGCCCAAGCACTGGGACCATCCTCTGTTGCTTTCCCAGGTACATAAGCAGCGAGCTGGATGGGAAGTGGAGCAGGTGGGATTCAAACTGGTGCCCATCTGGGCAGCCACCTGCGAAGCCAGATTAACCCAGTATGCTTTTTAGGAATCTGGAATGTGAGGAGTGAGTGGGAATGCACAAAGGAAAAGTGTACCAGTGCAAGACCAGCAAGGGTGGAGGAGGAAGCAAAGAAGGTTGAGCAGTGTGGGCTCTAGAAGGTTCCAAGGCCAGAAGCCGCACTGTATGTTAAACATCTGCATCTCTCCAGTCACAACTCTGCTGTTTAACTTTGGTTCTGCCTCTCTTTTTTTTCTTCCCCAAAGTTCAGGCAAGAAGTAACCAGTGATCTGAAAGGCTGATGGAGCTGCTGGCAATTTTTATTTTTTTGACTCTCTGGGGGCAAGAACAAAGCAGGCAGGGATTTTGTAAGTGTAGTAGATGCCAGGAAAGCCTGAGGATGGAGAATCCAAGGGAAGACATGAGCACTTCCTGGGCAGCAGGAGACAGGGCTCCAAGGTACCAAAGTATTGATCGGGAGATTGGGTTTTGCAGAGCAGAATCAAGAGGTGCCAGGCCTCTCTCCAGTAGAATCAGACTTGATTGTATTGCACGCAGGAATCAAGGGGAGAGATTGTAGGGAGAGAACAATGTTAGAATTTGAACATACTAGGAGCTGGTGCTGTGGTATAGTAGGTTAGACCTCCACCTGCGATGCCAGCATCCCATATGGGCGCTGGTTCATGTCCTGGTTGCTCCTCTTCTGATTCAGCCCCCTGCTAATGGCCTAGGAAAGCAGCAGATGATGGCGCAAGTGCTGGGGCCCCTGTACCCATGTGGGAGACCAGGAAGAAGCTCCTGGCTCCTGGCTTTGGATTGGCCTACTTCCTAGTGGCAGTTGTGGCCATTTGAGGAGTGAACCAGTCTGTGTATGGTTGACCTCTCTGTCTGTAACTCTGCCTCTCAAATAAATAAATCGGTCTTTAAAAAAAGAATTTGAACACACCAGATCTGATCTAGTGATCTGGGGACAGATGTAGTCCCAGCCTTCTGGCATGCTCATCATCTCCCTACCAACATTCAGACCTTCCCGGAAGTTTTAGAATCTTGAGATTGATACCCAAGTAATTGCCAAAGGCTTGCTCTAGGGTGAGATGTACCTAAACTCTCTTCAGTCTGTGCAATTTTTCTGAAAGATGTGCTCAGTAATTAGTTAATGTGTCATATTTATGTTGCTACTTTTGAAAAGCTTTATGAAACACAAATCTCGGGGCCAGCTCTGTGGTGCAGCAGGTTGAGCCACCACTTCGCACTGCCAGCATCCCATAGCAGAAGGCCCTTCGAGTCCTGGCTACTCTGCTTCCGGTCCAGCTCCCTGCTAATCCACCTGGGAAAGCAGTGGACGGCAGCCCAAGTACTAGGCCTCTGCCACCCACGTGGGAGACCCAGGTGGAGTTCCAGGCTCCTGGCTTCAGCCTGGCCTACTGTAGCTGTTTGGGGAGTGCACCAGCAGATGGACAATCTCTCTCTTTCTATCCTTCTGTCACTCCGCCTTTCAGATAAATATATAAATCTTTAACAGAATAAATTTTGCCTATCGGAGAAGAGACGTATGCCATCGTGTGCTGTGTTCTCAAGTCATGATGAGTCATGGCCCCACCTCACCCTCCTTCTTGAAGCCCCCCCACCCAAGCTCCCTGAGCTGAATCATCCCCCCATATATTTCTTGCATATTATCTTTCCTTGCCTTTGCTTGGGAATCTTCTATCAG